AGATTGTGGAAGTAAGAGCATTGTCTTATTTTTCTCTCTTGTATCTTCTCTGTCCTTTAAATTCAGGGCAGGCAGTGAGTTGCACAGTGCCTCTCGCTTTGGTTTTTGTTTTGTTTTGTTTTGTTTTTTGAGGCCTTGCTGCGATCTTTACTGCATGGTGAGAACCATTCCTCACATCACACAGGAAAAGGCAGGAGTATTTCGGATTGTAACACTTTATACGTTAGTGTTGGGGTTTTTTTGCATTTTTCAGTGTTTGCTCACATAACAAAACCCACTAAGGATAGGAAAGAAGCATATTTTAGATGGAGAATGACCACAGCTTTGCCTCTGGTGTATTAATTTTATTCTTAATGGAAAGCATTCAGATTGGGGTAGCCAATCACAGAGAGTCACAGGGTATTTTTTTGCCCCTATATTTCCAAGAGGCCACACTTGAGCACCCATTGTGATATTGCAACTCTTCTCATTTCATTTTTGACCAATTTCCAACTGAATTTTCCACCCACCCACACCCCTTTGTTTAGAGGTGGATAAAGTAAGCAGTTAAAAACTTCTGCATTTGAAGCAGTTTTGAACCATTTGGGAAAGGGCTGGTAAAAAAAAAAATCACCTGAATATATGCATATGTGTTTGTGTGTGTGTTTTAAACTAGAGTCAGAAGGCTTTAAGGGCTGCAAATTGTAGCCTGGAGGCCAAATGATTAAAATATTTAACTTCCTCACACACCTGCTCTGTTGGAAGTGTAATAACCTAGTAGCCAGCCACACTGACCTCTTATGTGATGTGTATTGTGGCTCTGAGAGAATCAAACACAGTGAGGGGATGGGAAATGGGTACAGTTGTTTACTGCCTGCCTGCCTTCAGGCATATTTTCACTTGGAGTTGTTCTGTTAAAAGTCATGTTTGATTTAAACATGCCCATATACCACTTGTGAATGTGCATTGCAGCAAAACACTCAAAATGTTGTGAACTCTGTGAGCACTTACCTCCACCAAGTCTTTGCATGCAGGTGTGTCACCAGATGAATAGCATGCATGTGGAACAAAACTCTTGTTACCACCCAATGAGAGTTAACCCTCCATAGCCGCAAATTCTTCATCCACAGATTCAGTCAAACATGGTTTGAAAATACACACACACACCCAAAAAATCCAGAAAACAAACCTTGATTTTGCCATTTTAGAGCCAACATGGTGTAGTGGTTTAAGTGTTGGAACTACTACACTGGAAATCAGGTTTGATTCCCCACTTGGCCATGGAAACCCACTGGGTGACCTTGGTCGAGGTACACATTCTCAGCCCTAGAAAACCATGTAATAGGTTTGCCTTTCGGTCGCCATAAGTCGAAATAATTTGAAGGCACACAACAACAACAAAGATGCTGAAGAGAAAGTCTACCTAGACACGGAAAAAATTCTAAGCTGTTATTAATTTCAAGTTAAATTAAACATGGACAAAAACTTATGAGCCATGTTCTAAAACATTGTGAGACATTCTGCTAATAAAGGATAGTAGAAAGAATGCCAGAGTAAGATACATAGAACAAGGGTGGCACATATAGATCAGTATCCTGTGTGTAAGTCTCTCTTTGGGCAGAATGCAGAGGGCTATTCTCTTGCTCTGGCACTCCATCCCTAAACTTCCCAACAATCCAGAGTTGTTCCTTTGTACCAGTGGGGAAGAGAAGGAAGGGGAAGGCAATTCAGATGATGAAGATCCCACTGTTCTGGGCTTGTGGGGAAAGGAATAAGTAGATGCACTCCATTTGGGATTGCATCCTCATTTCTCTCCCCAATCCTGACTCCATGGATTGAATCATCTCCTCCGTTCCCTCCTCACCAATAAACAACAGCACAACACTGGCTCTTCGGATTAATAACGGAGATGAGCATCTCCCCCTATGGTTAGGCACAACGCCAACCTTGTCAACAGGGAATACATTTACCTTTTTCACCTAGGAGTCTCCCTCGGTGTGGGAGGATGCAAAACTGGGATGCTAAACTACAATCTCAGCCATTGTTTGGAAATAATGTTTTCTCATTATTGCTGAGTTTATACACTGTCACAGGCTTTTGTTCTGCAATTACTGCCACTGCATTTTTTAAGAAATTATTTTAATTTGCAGGCTCAGGGTGAATCCTGAGTTTCCAAGCCAGAATCTACCAATGCTGTGGGATTCAATAAACTACTGAGCTCTGTCTACTAACAGACTTCAGCAATGAATGCTAAAGGATTAATTTTTGTCCCTACACAACTTTTCCCATTTCATTGTCTCTCTTGAGTACTGTGCACTTGACTGTCCTCTTTGTGGTTGGGCCTTTGATTCTTAGGGACCTGGTGGATGAAGCGAAAGATTATCACCTCATGCCAGAGCGCCAACCGCACCTTCCAGCTTTCAAAACCCGCCCCCGCTGTTGCACCTCCATTGCAGGCCTGATCTACGCTGTGGGTGGCCTCAACTCTGCAGGTATCTTTCAATTCTGTTGTCTGTCAGGGATGTATTCTCAAAAGCATGGGAAACCATTTCTTTAGTATGTACAGAAAGAACACAGGCGAGAATTTGCATGGTATTCACAAAAAATGTTTTGGGAAATTATTTTACGCAAAAACCCTTGTCCAAAATTGGTGGGTTTTGTGCAAAAAACATACACAGGAAAGTTTTCAGAAACACAAAGTTCTGGAAAAAGTTTTCACTTTAAAAAAAACAAAAACAAACATGTGTATTTTTGTACAGAATAAGTTCACAAAGTGATTCAGGATGTGCAAATACCACAGCAACTAGATAGAAATAAGTATTTTCTTCCCTACTGGGGAGAAAACTACAAAAATTATTCACCCTTACATGCGAGGCTGAAGTAGTCAGACATTTACATCTCTGCTCTAATATGCAGTTGGACATAAACCAAGAAACCCTAAATGTTGTATTTTAGTGTGGGGGCAGATGAATTTAAGTGTGTAGAGCTCAAGTCCCATATTGGGGGTGGCAGTAAAGAGAACAATCTTGACATTTTGAGGCTGTATTGTCACTTCTTTGGACTCTGGTTCTTTAAAGAACATCTGCACCCAGATAATGCTATTCACCTTCTTATACAAAAGACAGACAGGTAATCATATTGATTTGTTATACCCCTGCAGAAGAAGAGTGGGATAAAATTGAAGCGGTGACCCAGCCCATACTGTAATCATCTTTTTCATTTGCGTGCTCAAACAAAATATAAATTGCATGTGAAAACAGTTACAATTGGATGGTGATCAAAAGGCTCCTCAAACCCTAAGAACCACAATAATGTAGAGAAAAAATGGAAGTTGGTGTTGATCAAACGAAGGTGTGTGTAAGAGAGGTGTGTGTGTTTGTGTCTGCAAGTGTGAAGGGAGAGCTTTTAGTTTTCATCATCAGTTTTTAATTCCATAATGATAATTTGGGATTCTAGCTGGTGCATGAAACAGCTGCTGCAGCAGGAAAATACAAAGAGGGTAATCCTGAAGCCACATCCCATGAAGTTAATTTAAAAAAAAGGAAGTGTAGTATTGTTGGAAAACAATATCACAGTTATGATTACACATGTGGAATTTAAAAAGCATTGTATTAGAAAGGATCTTCTATGAGTATGGTATGAATATAAGCAGAGACTTTTTCCTAAAATAATATCAGCTACCTCATTGCAGGAAGCCTTTTTAAAGAAAGAATGGATTAAACATTGAAGATGGTTACTCAATGATGATCTTTTGTATTTTAAACAAGATAGGTGGAAGTTTGAATCAAGATAGATGATTCTTAAGGCAAATTAATATTCACTTATGTGCAACTTAAGGACAAATTTAATCAAGACAAGAAATGCAGCAATAGAGGGTAGAGAAAATGAATTTTATCTGGAGTTGTGTAAAGGCGCTGACCATGTACAGTTGGCCCTCTGTAGCCACGGATTCTGCATCCAAGGATTCAACCACCCAAGGCTTGAAAATATACTTTTTTAAAAATCCAAAAAGGAAACCTTGATTTTGCTATTTTATACAAGGGATGCCATTTTGTTGCACCACTGTATTTAATGGGATTTGAGCATCCATGGATTTTGGTATCCATGGAGAGATTCTGGAACCAAATGTCAGTAAATACCAAGAGCCTGTTGTAGAAGCAATAAAAGGGAAAACCATACTACAGGAATAAATTGCAAAAAACATGCACACACACACCACTATATCACAATAATGTTACAAGATGCTACTGTGTTCTGCTTTTTAATGGACAAAAAAAGAGAGACTACTCTTGGGTTGGAAACTAAATTCACACTTGGGCAGTATCAGTGGGCCCTTTATTGTGAACATCATTTTTTAAAATGTGAGCAGCAAATTTCTACGCAGGTGACTCGCTGAATGTAGTGGAAGTCTTTGACCCCATTGCCAACCACTGGGAGAAGTGCCAGCCAATGACGACGGCTCGCAGCCGAGTAGGTGTGGCTGTGTTGAATGGACTCTTGTATGCCATTGGTGGATACGACGGGCAGCTGAGACTGAGCACGGTGGAAGTTTACAATCCAGAGACGGATTCTTGGTCCAAAGTGGGAAGCATGAATAGCAAACGAAGGTGTGTGTAAGAGAGGTGTGTGTGTTTGTGTCTGCAAGTGTGAAGGGAGAGCTTTTAGTTCTCATCAAGATCAAGTGAAGGGGTAGTGTGGTCTGAGTGATGACGATTGATTTAAATATCCCATCTTTCCCCTTGATTGCCCATTTTTTCCAGTGTTTTCCTAGAATACTCAGTTTGGAAGAGACTCCAAGGACTATCCAGTCCAATTCCATTCTGCCATGCAGGAAGCCATATCAAAGCACTCCCTGTGACAGATGACCATCCAGCCTCTGTTGTTGTTGTTGTGGGTCTTCAAGTCATTTCCAGCTTATGGCAACCCTAAGACAAACCTATCATGGGGTTTTCTTGCAAGATTTGTTCAGAGAAGGTTTGTCATTGCTTTTCCCTGAGACCTAAGTTACCCAGTGGGTTTCATGGCTGAACAGGGAGTTGAACCTTGGTCTCCAGAGTTGTAGTCCAACACTCAAACCAGTATGCCACTCTGGCTTTCTACCAGCCTCTGATCAAAAACCTCCAAAGAAGGAGACTCCACAACTCTCCAAGGCAATGTCTTCCACTATGAAACAGCTCTTAATGTCAGGAAGGTCTTCCAAATTTTTAGGTGGAATTTCTTTTCCTGTAGCTTCCCTCCATTGTTCCAGGTCCTAGTTGTTCCAGGTCCTATTTTCTGGAGCAGCAGAAAACAGGCTTGCTCCATCCTCAATATGACATCATTTGAAATATTTAAACATAGCTATCATGTCACTTCTTTGGTTTAAAACAAGTTGCATACTTCTCTTCATGCCACAGACCTGGAACCAATGCTCTTTGCCTGTAGCTGTGAGCCAGCCTGCCAGAGAGGCACAGCAGTCTTTCAGCTCTGCAGAGAGCACCTTGATAGCAAAATCCTCCAGTTGTCAAGAAAGCAATGTCTCCATCAACAGCACAATTACTGTGAAGTAAACACATTCAAACTGTGCTTGGTTTATATGATTCTGATGATTGAGTTGTAGAAAGAACATTGCTCTCAAGCCAAGCTTCAAATTCCAATTCGAAAGTATTTGGTTTTCCAGACTGAGGGTAAACAAACTTTCTCCCTCCCCAAATCAGTATCGTGTCCAGGTTAGTTCCTTGCTGCTTCTTACAAGAAGGGTCTATTGTTATTTCTGTCTATTTTTAGTCCTTCTGGGTTCATCTGCCATTTCTGTGCTTCAGTATGGGTAAATCCTGAGCTTTCTAGTGAACTCCTTAACCACCCCCTGCTTGCTTGCAACAATGGCCATCTGTCAGGAGTGCTTTGATGGTGTATTCCTGCACGGCAGGGGGGGGGTTAGACTGGATAGCCCTTGTGGCCTCTTCCAATTCTATGCTTCCTTCAGTGCTTTGTTTAAATTCCCCTCCTGGTGTTCAGACCTTTAAAGTAGCGATGGAAGTCTGGGGGACATTTTTGCCCTCTCCTAGACCTTGGAAAGCTACATATCCCTGCTGGCACTCCAAATAAAAATTCCCTCCAAGATAAAAAAAAAATGCTCCTCCAGACGTCAGGGAGTTGTGGTTTTCCTTTTGCATATTCTCCACCTGTCTTCTTGGGCGAAGCAATTTGGCTGTTCTAAGTTAGGAGGAAAATATTTTAGAAGTGATGTGATTGGATAGTCACTTCTGATTTCTAAAAATGAAAATGATTTTGTGGCCTTAAGACAAGCCCAGAGATAGAATTATATTTAGTTCCACTCGCCAGAGACTTCTGCATGCATGATTTGCCATGGAGGGTTAAATTTAAGAGAGAGAGAGAGGCATTCTCAGGGCTGCGTTAAGGTCCCTGAGCCCAGATATGGCCTGTGAGCTGTACGTTACTCAGCCCTGATTTAGAAGATGGTCGTTGGCACATTTCCAAACTGCTTTCCATCTTCATGAACATGAGAATCTGTGATTCTCAAGGCAAGTCAACCTTGTGTTATATTTGACTAAAAGCCTTTATAAGCCACAATAATAAAATACATGCAGAAGTTGGGTTAGCCTAGTCCCTTGCACACCCAGCACAGTAACATTTAGAGTAATTGTGTAAATGTTTTTTCCAGCCTTAGCAAATGAATCTGTTTTGTATGCAACAGATGGGCCACAATCTGACAGTAATCTGCATATTTTCACAAAAGGACTCTCACCCCAGAGGCATGCCAAGATCTGTCCCAGAAATCTTTCTCTAGGATATGTGACTCTTTATTTAAATGAGCTTTTTTCATCTTTTCCAAATATAAATAGCAGCACTATCCCTAATTGTGTTACTCATTGTGACGACTAATGTATACTACATTGATATTACTATGTCAAACTTGATTTAATTGTTTGAACGGCACCAAAGTTGCTTTTCTGTTGGATCTGTCAGAGGAGAAGATGAAGCACTTTGTTGCTTCATAGCCACTACATGTCACTCTTGGCTCACCAAGAGGCAAAAATAAATATATAGAGTTAGTTCAAGACTAAATGCTTTAATGATCCACTGGGCCTTTTGTCCTGATTGCCTTCTCTTATTGATTTCATTGTGCCTTCTCTGAGCACAGCAAAGTCTTATCTAATCCCATATGAAACAGAATGGTCTGGAGAAATATGAAACCAGCCATTTTAAGTCCTTGCTTAACTGAAGCTTAATGGTCACCAAACCCACCTACCCAGTAACATTTGGGATTTGTGGCTTGTTTCCAGTGCCATGGGGACAGTAGTGCTGGACGGACAGATCTACGTTTGTGGCGGGTACGATGGCACCTCCTCCCTCAACTCGGTGGAAGCGTATTCCCCTGAAACAGACAGGTGAGTATTTCTTCATCTGTAGCATCCCTCTGTTACACTTTAGCAGTAAGTAATTTGAAGTGCTCTATTTCTGTCACCTGGCCCTCATTTCTCTTGCCTTGTTGGTCTCTTGCGAAGGTGGACAGTAGTGACCCCAATGAGTTCCAACCGCAGTGCAGCCGGCGTTACAGTATTTGAAGGCCGGATCTTTGTCTCCGGTGGTCACGATGGACTCCAGATCTTCAATAGCGTGAGTGATTCTGGCCAGCTCTTTCTTCTGATATACTTTTCACGGGTTTGGGGAACGTTGTTTTTTAATCTTTTTCATCTTTTTAATGGTCATGTTTTGCTTTTAACGGCTTTGAAATAGACAAATAAATAAATAAAGTTGTCCTAACTTTATATTAGTCTTTATGGCATCCTTAACAAGTAGGCTAACCTAGGAGATGCTATGATCGAAGTAAGAACTGGGTGGTAATTTGAACATACAACCCCCATCTTGAAAATATAAAACACTGCCTATGTTGTTTATTTCAAAGTGCTGGTTATGATCTACAAAACTTTGTATGGCTTTGGTCCAGACTATCTGAAAGACCCTATCTCCCCATACAAGCCTAACCATGTTTTAAGATCTTTGGGAGAGGGCTGTGTCTCGGTCCCACCACCATCATAGGTACATCTGGTGAGGACTTGGAAGAGAGCCTTCCCAGTGGCTGCTTCAGGATATGGAAACTCTGGCAAGGGAGACTCAGTTGTCCCTCTCACTGCTCCCTTTTTGCTGACCAGCAAAGAACTTATTTAAACAGGCCCCCAGCTTTTAACTGGTTAGTACAGGGGTCGGCAACATTTGTTGCCTGGGGGGGGAATGGTGTGCGAGCCGGGCGGGCGCGTCTTTGCGCGTGCACTTTCCCCTGTGCGCGCATGTATGTGGGGGGCACCATTTTGGAAGGCCCAACGGTGCCATGCACATGGCACCATTGTGCCTTCAAAAATGGCACCTGTGCTTGCGCGTGCATGTGCGTGAGCACAGGGCACCATTTTGGAAGGCCGCAACGCGCATGCTCTGGGAGAATTCGTCTGGTGCACATGTGCTGCAGCCTTGCCAGAGCCCAGGTTAGGCCCCAGCATGCCTGTTCCGGGCGAATTCACCCGGCGCACGTGCACTGCAGCCTTCCAAAATGGCGCCTGCGTTCATGCGCGGGGCGGCAGCAGCGGTGGAACCAGCCACGGGCTGGTCCCAATGCCTTCGCGGGCCGCACACGGGCTGCAAGTTGCTGACCCCTGGGTTAGTGCAATGGGCAGGTTTTAATGTGGTTTTAACAGTTTTTAACAATTATAATTATAATTTAATGGTTTTACACGGATTGTGTTTAATGCTTTTTTAGTTTTTGAATTTCAGACTTTTAGCTATATAGCTTTAGTGCATGGTGTAAGCCACTTTGGGTTCCATATAAATTAAATCCATAAAATCAAATACAGTTGCCCCTCCCAATTCACAGGGGATCCATTCCACACCCACCCACCCACGAAAATGGCAGCTCGCAAGTATTTGAGCCCCGTTGAAACTAATGGTGCACAGGCCTGTGGCACACATATGGGCTCATGGCCATTTTAACTATACCTGGTTGTCCCTCCCTGTGAAGAGCGAGACTGCAGACTCGAAGTCTGTGAACGGGGAGGGACAATTGTATTATTTTTGTTCTTTCTTCACAAAAAGAATTGTGTGGGTAGTAATGCTGACCATTTTAAACAATCCAAAAGGCAGAAAATACATTACACTACTTCCACTTTCTCTGGAAGGATTTGCCTGGGTACAGTTCCCTGTGCATTGTGTGTAGGTCTTGCTGCCTTTATAAGAAGCTTAGATGTTCCCCAGGGATAGATGGTTCTGGGAGCTTTGCAAGTCTGTTCCATTCATTCTTGATCCCTCCCAGATTCCCTGCTCTCTTATGCTCTCCTGACCTCTTTCTTTGCAGGTAGAATACTACAACCACCACACGGCTTCGTGGCATTCTGTGGCCAGCATGCTCAACAAGCGCTGCCGGCACGGAGCAGCCTCCCTTGGTAGCAAGATGTTTGTCTGCGGTGGCTATGACGGCTCGGGCTTCCTCAGCATTGCTGAAGTGTACAACTCTATGGCAGACCAGTGGTACCTGATTGTGCCCATGAATACCCGGCGCAGCCGCGTCTCCCTTGTTGCGAACTGTGGCCATTTGTATGCTGTGGGGGGCTATGACGGACAGTCCAACCTGAGCTCTGTAGAAATGTACGACCCTGAAACCAACCGCTGGACGTTCATGGCCCCCATGGTGTGCCACGAGGGAGGGGTTGGGGTGGGATGTATACCCCTCCTTGCAATCTGAGCTTGCAGGACAGGACAGGGTGGGGGTATGGTACACAGTGCATGCAAGCCATAACTGCCAGGAGCAAGAGAGAGCCCATTCTTCATGAAGGGACAGCTGACAAAGCGAGACACCCATTCTATCAAGAGAGGTACATCACATTTCAAGGTGCTTGGACGTTGTCCTTTGGAAAAACGCACAAAACGTCTCACTCAGCAGAATCCCATCACTGCGATGCAGGTTCCATGAATTTGATGGTTCAGGCTACGTGAATGAAGGCTGCCTCCCTCTTTCTCCCATGCTCTGCAAGGCTTCCAGCCTCTTTTGGTCATTCCCTCCTTCACCTTTCCTAACGCTGCCCTTGGTCTGTTTGTGATTATG